GACTCATCTGCGGAGCAGTATTCCATTTTCGTTGTTTTCTTGTAGATCTTCAGCAGTCGTTGCCATGCTACTGCTCCCATCAGCTGCCAGAAGGCAGATTCTGATCGCTGACTTCGCGCCGTCTGCCTCAGTTCCCCAACATCGTGCACGGCTCTCGGTAAGCGTGGCGACGATCAAGCCTGTATAACATTCCATAGCGTTCGTATCATGAAAATTAAGTGACTAAGTTTTGTGGGAGACTTAAATACAGTCCTCAGCCCTCCTCCTCATCTGGGCTTTGCCTCGACAATGGCTGAATTTGTTTCAGTCATTTCATAGTTGTTTGAAATCTTAGAAGTAGATCGATTTTAGCGCAATAAAAAGCTTTTCATCACACCTGCTGCCTCTTACTTTCTGGCCATTCGTTAATCCCATATTTCGTAAAGTAAAATTATCACTGTATCCTAAAAAGATTTATTTGAAATGGCCCTTGAAACCTATCCGTAAATTTGCATTGTAAGAAGTACCATTAGTGCCTTCCTACGCGTTATGAAAATAGTTTTAACTGTGCTCGTTCCTTTTGACGGATTGTCTACAGGCTTATGTGATTCCATGGAATGCAGGTCGTACGCTGCAATTTGAACTGTTATCGTCGTATAAGTAATCTTCTCGATCTCTGTTCTTTTACTAGAAAACGCCTGAACTTTTATAACCCGATCCCAAATGCCACTGACCGAATTTTCTGCAGATTTCCATGTGATTTTGGTTTTTCGTTGTTGTCGATTTGTCATTTCATTTTTGTATCCAATTTTTGTGATTTCAGGTTTTTTAAAAGTTAGTTTTCTTTTATCACTATTGCAGTTCAGATTATATTTCTTTAAACGCCGTTAAAGAATTGCGCGGATTCCTCTTTAATTTGTGTGATCGCACTGTAGTTCCAAGTCGGTTCTGTACATGCAGATTAACTTGAACTGTGCCATAAGCGGCAAATAACAGATTTCGAGCAGCAACATTATCGTTTTTATTTGCTTTGTGGTACAGTAATGAACAAACTTTTAGAAAGAAACTGCAAACTCTAAAGAATCCGAAATATGGATCAGTGCATATTTACCGAAGTATTAGACCCACTGTGTTGAGTATCTCCTTTGCATTTTTCCACTCATTTATCAGCAGTCGAATTTTCGAATATCGTTAGCCTTGTTAGCTCTGCTTTTTTGTTTGTCTATGTTCAGATGACTATGGAAGCTGTATCTGTCTTGATTTTTCCAGGCATCAGATCCTGAATAAAGCTTTGATCTGTCATCGTTAACAGGTTTTATCTATACTGAATCGTAGTTTCTTCCGTTATTTGCTGCAGAGACACTTGTTTGCTAGACTAGCACTAATAGTTGCAACGGCTAATTAGGTTTGAACTCAATATTCATATCTGTTGATTTTGCGCAACGAGTCTTGTGCCGTTATTGATATACTGGCCTGATAACTTGCGTGTATTCAGTGGGAATTAATAAATATTCTTTTTAAAGTTGTTAAGCGGATCTTTGGACTGCTGGTCTGGAGCCAAAACACGATGACCTTATTGTATCTGGTTTTTGATAAGGATCAGTTAAAGATTTATGATAGATATTCGCTGTTTTATTGAAATGATAGCGTGGTTAATTTTTTAGAAGGCGTACCATTGGTACATTACTTCGGTCCATGTGGAAAGTATAACGCGTTGGTTCTAGAGCTGCTTGGTCACTCTCTTGAGGACCTATTTGACCTGTGTGATCGCAGGTTTTCTGTAAAGACTGTCTGCATGATCGCTATGCAGCTGGTGAGAATTTTCTTTAATATTGAACTCTCTATTCGTTTTTTTGTTGTGTTAAGGTGCGGCGAATCGAGTATGTTCACAGCAAGCACCTAATCTACCGTGACGTGAAACCTGAAAATTTTTTGATTGGGCGGCATTCAACGAGAAAGCAGCATATCATTCACATAATCGATTTTGGATTGGCAAAAGAGTACATTGATCCGGAAACGAATAAGCACATACCTTACCGTGAACACAAATCTCTTACTGGCACAGCCAGATACATGTCAATAAACACCCATTTGGGCAAAGGTAAGATGTGGTGATCCATAGAAGATTGCACGTAGTATTTACGAAATGACATTGATGGGTTCTTACTAAATACGTCCTTATATAGACAGTGTAAACTGATATAAACAAGGGTACAATGTTGTACATATGTTGTCTCGACCGTTAACAGATGCCACCATACTTGTGCCTTTTTAAGCGCAGTGATTCAGCGCTGGCTTTCACTAGCCATTTGCCCTGCCCACCGCAGCAACTTCTTTCGGCAGTCGATGACGAAATCCTTCACTTTCATCTATTTTCTGACCACCATGTTGAGGAGGTGGTCACAATGACATGACTCCAGTTTGATTTGATATGTCGGGATTTTATGTAATTAAATTTACATGTATAAACCCTTTGAAGATTATGAAGATCAGGAACTTTCTATCCTAATGAAGAATTCAAGTAACATCTTTGTTGCAGTTTTCCATGTGCTTAATATTTCAATTATCAATTAGATGGCGCAGCAGGCACCCATCAGACAGCTTGGCGATGATTCTCATATACTCTAGAATGACCAGTCCAGAAAGCCTTGTTCTCCCTATAGTTCACAGGTGAAGAAACGAGGTGATACTCCATTCTTGCCTGGATGCTCAGAAGTAAAGTGGAGTTCATTTCTCAAGGGAACTGACAGTTAATACGGAAATTTTACCCCACCCTGACATTCGACCCGTGCACCATTAAAGTGCGAAGCCAGACTGCTATCCACTGTGCTACTGTTCCTCGTTGTCAGTGTATTTTCTCAGCATTGTTTATATTTTCACT